GTTAACGGGCTAATGCTGCCTATACCGCCTAGCGCTCGGCTTCATTATTACATAGCAACAACTCTAATAAACCTGTAGATGATAGAGTGAGGTCATAGAGGAATTTTATAAAACCTTCTTCACATCTTTGTTGACCTCGCCTTTTCCCAGTTATTATGGACTATTCATGAAGACAGAGTCTCGTTACTATCGCAGTTTTAGGGTCGAGTTGATGACCTTGTGGGGATGGTTGTACTGCCTCAATGAGTGGGTCAATTGTCGAAGTCAAAAGCCACAAGTTTGGTCCGCTTACGATAAAGAGCCCAATATTCGGTAAAAATCCATTTTTGTTTTCAACTATTTTAAATCCCGTAAAAAGGTAGAACGACTGTCTTACTCCACTGTCTCCTCCCCTAAATCAACGGAATTAGTGGCATCTTCTGGTAGAACTGACGTTATGACATATGCACCCTCTTGTGGTATGCTTTACTTTCATCAACATTAGGGAAAAGCTGGCAAAGGTATCTGCTTGGAAGCCGTCGCTTCCTGACTCAGCCATGGATAATTGCAGTACTGTTGTAATATTGGAGTACTGAAGGGGTAAAATCTTTTTTAGATAGACTTCAGAATACATATGTAAGCTTCTCCACACTCTTGAACGGATCTAACGGCACATTACACACCGAAGAACGCGTGGGCGGAGTTGATTGGAACACCGCACCCTTCTCATTGATGCACCCTTTCTTTTAACATGAAATGATGAGGGACTTCACCAGGATGATCAGTGTGAAGTGTACGCAGCCGTTTAACTTGGTTAGGTTGTCCCTGGCAAACCGCTTAGAGGTACATTTATTGACACACCGACAGAGCAGTTGAGAACATTGAAAATAATAGCAAAATTTCAGGCAATGGATGAAATCGCCGTTCTTCTCTGCAAGAATGGTGCTCAACAACTGCCCGTTCGCATTTTTCCGGATAGGCGTGAGCATTTCACTCCCCAATTTTTATCTGTTCTCTTCCCCCCCCTCCATTCGGATCATAACAAAGATTTTTTCAGTTCTACCTTCGGTCGTTGGGTCGTGACGATACGCCTGATTATTTCTACCTTGCCTCGTTACTCCATGAAGCGAGTCGTACAGTGAAACGGAAGCAGAAACCAGAGCCAGTGAATTTTGATAAGATCATCGCTGAAAATAATCTACTCGAGAGGAACTTCTTTTAGAAGGCTTTTTACATGAACAACACTAGGTTTACTCAACTCCGATAAATCGAAGTTGTCTGAATGTGTTCCTAACAGTTCACTAGCTCTAGCCAGAAGTAAAAAACACGAGATTGAAATTACGGAAGGCTAAAGGATCTACAATTGAGCCACATAACTCAAATGTAGACTGGGCGAGCTCTTATCGCCGTACTTGCTCATCGACAGAACATCACCAGTGTGTGTCGCGGCAATGTGTTTCATATGGTACTATGAAACGCCACAGAAGGGGGGTAGCAGTCGACGAGGAGTTGTGTTCCGTGAGCGCCAAAAGGGATCGTGGCATGGTTATCAAACACGTTGATGGCGTAGAGCAGGGGCCAAGCTGAATCCGGATCTCTATACTTCGTCCAGTGGTCTCCACTGGTCTCTCATACATATTCACTTTGTTAAAACCATCGTCTTTCCTGGAATCACGAGAAAGTTTCTGTCAATGTCCCTCCCAACCTTTGCTTTTCATCCTCACTCTTCAGCTCCCCGCTATGACTGGATGCCTCCCCCTTTCAACATCAGCAGGCTAAGTACGACCTCAATTTCGGTTTACCTTGGATGGACTTAACTCTGGATTGGAGCGCCCGCATGAAAAAGGGTTTGAGGTTGAAAATCGTGATGAGGTTTGGATCCGAACTGGTCGTTATATTTTCATTTGAGTATGACCAGATCTCATCTCCGATCAGGAGTTCCCAGAATGCTGAAAGGTTTGTGAGAGTAGAGACTGTGTAGTCTACTGGGACACACTACTAACACTTGGTTGCTTACTGGACCCCCCCCCCTACAAAGACCTAAGCCTTCAGCACCTAAGGGGCCGAATCCAGCCTTAGAAAGCAAAAAGAATCGACCAGATCTCGGTCAGTCAGGCAGAAGGGTCTAAATCTCTGTCTAATCGTAAGTGTAGGCATTTGAATTTCTCTATAGATTTGAACGAAAGACGACCTCATACCGCATTTTAGAGCAGTTGCTCAGCACTTGGCACCAACTCGTCCATTAATAGGTGAACATAAGGAATAGGTTTAATTTAATGAATTTAGGCACAAAACACAACAACACAACCGGTATGCATAGCGCCAAGCCATTCTGAACAATCCGCGACATCAATGGAGAGTACAATTGGCCGAGAGCATTTGGCTTGCCGTGATTCGCCACCACATGAGCGCGACTCAAATTTGGCAGTTGGCCAAAGCTGCTTCACTCTCAACTCCAGCTCCGAGAGCAGCTGGTCTGAATGGGCCACTGGGAACGCCGAACGAATGGTTTTGCATTCCGCATCGGTCAACAGCTTTGTAACAGCGTTGTAGTCGAAGGGGTCCTCGAGGGGAACTGAGGTGTCGAACTTCACTCGGTCGTCTCGACGCTCGGCTGGGAACTAAAATGGTAAATAGTTCGTTCTGCGAGACCAAGAGCGACATAGTACTGCTGTACAGTTAGGACTCACTTCGTTATTGATGAATTTGAATTTGTCATCGATAAACGTCAGATAGCGAGCTTCCAGGGTGCGCTTTGTATAGATATCGATCGTTTTCTGAAAGCAACATGCAAGTTAAACTTGTGTTAACATTTAATTACATTATTACATTATACATACGTCTACGTAAAACGACCACAACATGACGCGCGCGGTTGCGGTGCGGTCTAGAAAGTACAAAACGACAACGACAAACTTATATTTGATCAATGAATATTAATTACCTGGTCTGGAACAAAGAGCTCCGGCTTTTCATACTGCTTCAGATAAAAGTATTTGTTTCGTCGCATCAAAGGATTATCGTCAAACAGGAGATAATTCGACACAGCTTGAGCCGCATCTCTGCCTCGCATTACTGTAATATGAATTACTGTGGCTTAATTCTGTAGGAGAAGTGACGCAACACTCCCCTTTTTTTCTTATTCTATACAATGACCCAGAGAGAGGGGGGGGGCAGCCGATGCAAAATTCTGCGTTTTTATCCTTCCAGGCAACCGTGACACCAGTTGACAGCAAAGGTAAGATACCGTAGCGTTCGTAGTGGCTTTAATCCACGCACGCGTACCCTGGTTGCAAACCATGACCCTGCTCTCTGGATTTCTTAGGACTTGAAATTGGCTCAATAATTGGTGGGGTTAAAGGTACAGGCTCTAATCGGCGTGTCCTAACTTTCCTCACAATCCGTGAGCTGATTTCACAACACTTCACAAATCCGAAAACGATAAAATTTGGTTCTTTGTTTCCCTAAATTTTTAAATTCAAAAAAAGTTAAACCTGCAACCTATGGTATCCTGCGGCAATCCAGAGTGTTTGCATCAAATGTTATAGTATTGATTAAGGCAACTCAAGGAAAGCGCAGCGCAAAAATGGGAGGGTTTTATGGAGTAATAGCGTTTCTATAAAGCCTGCTACCGGTCACCAAAATGACGTGCTAAGCCACACCAGGGCCGCGTTCATAGTTCGCGACTCGGGAGATTAGGATAGTAGGCGACAGGATATTAGGATAGTAGTAGAGTAGGAGATTGCGCTGACAAGATTGGATACGTATCGATTGAAATCGCTGGAGAGTAGTAGATTGGGCGACTTCAAGCGAATAGATCAATACATATCTAATCTTGTCAGCGCACTATCCTAATCTACTACTATCCTAATCTCCTACTCTACTACTATCGAAACTCCGTCAACACATTTATGTTTTATGTTTTCAATTGTCGGTACTGCCTACTCTTCGCAGATCGGCGAACTAAGTAGTGAATGCGCCTTGTTGTTGACTAAAGGGGCGGGGGGCCCGCCCCCCCCCGCTTGTCCCCCAACGGGGGAAACTTGAACGTTCAATGGAAAACTTGATGGCAAGTTCGCGTGGCATTACATCGAACCTCATTTAACATAGAAAAGTTGAATATCCTCAGTGGATGTATAAAATTGGCAGTAGATGAGGAGCCTATTTGCTTCGCGCCGCAGATTTTCCACGGCAGGAAATTGTCGGCAGAATATGAGCGTCAATAACGCCAGGGCCGGGAACGAATGCTATTTTCAAGAGCACCGCTGTCAACAGCCAGTACAAGAGAGATCTCAGTGGAAAAAAACTTCCCTATTCAGGCAAGTGCGATAGTATAGTGCATATACCACCAGCGGTTTTTTCTTCAAGGAAAGTAAGTGCGGGCTTGGGTGAGTTCACGGTTCTTGATGGAAGAATTGGGATAGAGCGAAATAGGGCTGTCCGACGAGATCAGGATCCCCAAGGCAAGTCAATGGATTCACGGCACATGGTATTGAAATCTCGACGATAATTTTACAAGTCAACGCACGCGGCGTTTGCTACCCTTAGCTGCGTCCGACTGGTGGGCGGGCAAGAGCTCTGAACGTTTGGAAAAACTCTTCCTAGCGCCCTATCACGCCGTGATGAAGCCCCACTGATTTGCGAGCGCCAGCTCTCTCTCAGAGGTTCCATCATGCACCTTCCCCCCTCATTCTCGTGGGACTTATAGCCACCGTCTCCTTCGAGAGTTCACTATCCCATTGGGTTTGGTTGAAAATCAAATGAGTGTTTTCATTCGGGACTTTTTTAGGTGAACTTATATCGGGTAGAAAACCCACGTTTGAAGTAGCAGTAATGTAGATATTCGTAATGTGCTGCTGGCAACTCTCCAACATTGAAACCATTGATCAGTGCTAATCGATAAAGACAATTGTGTTGGCATCGAATCACGGACGCTTGCATGCCTGAAATGATCTGATTGTCTTGATTATTGATTGGTGCGTGATTTCTGGGACAAGGCATGTAGCTGAAGTCAAACTCACTTGTCACGAGTACGTCTATTTCGGGATTTCCTACAATAGAACTCCAATCGATTTTGTCTTCACAAAGAAGTCTACATCTGTAAAAACATATCATATATTTATGGTATTGCACTGATCTCAAGGAACGACGATGTATTGGGCTGCGCCATGCACCCGCAACGATCTATAGGAGCGATCCGGCACACAGCTCAGAACTCTGTATTTTAATTTTGTACTGATCGAGTGGTCCGAAGCTCTTGATAATTTATATTTATTAGTTAGCTTTCGGGCATAATAGCTATCTTAAACCTTAAAAATACAGCAATTGCAACACGCTACCATATTCAAAAAACTTCTACTAACGATAGCCTACCACGAAAAGGAGAGTGGTGGGGACCATTGCGGGGTCTGGTGAAATATGCCTATTATAATAAAAGCTTACTTGGTGTGTCCGTGTCGGTTTGTATGTGTGTCTGTGTGTCTGTCCGTTCGCAAAATGAGTGAGTGATAAGGCAGCTAATGGGTTTGGGGTGTTTGAGGGGGGTAGGCGGAAAACCAATCCCCAACAGGCCTAGGGTGCAATGAGGTTTTGATAGGTGATTTTAGGACGTGAAGAGTACGCAGGGAAAGAAGGTCCGGCGGTTTGAGGGGACCAACCTGGTGAAAAATGAAGCACCAACCCTGAGGCAAAGGACTTAGGCTGATTACGAAAGAAGCCTCAGAAGGTCACGTAGCTCCTCTTTCGCGTTGATTTCTGGCTTTATACGATGTATTTCCCGCGCCTCCATGATTTTCCTTTCCAGCGGCCGCACCAAATGTCTGTGAAGAACGCTCACGTCGAAAAGATTTATATATATCATATTTTTTGTTTCGTATAACTTCGTATAATGTATTGTGATTTTTTCAATTTTTTCAGAACCACTGAAAATGGTGATGGCCCAGGAACCCAATAAAGAAGAATGTCTACTGTCCCCCCTGCCCGCATTCACCTTGAACGCTCCCCCCCCGCGAATTTCCGAGCATAGTCCACTGAATCTTACCTCGAATCTTCTTCCGCAGTTTTCTCCAATGACATCTCAAGATCGTCAACGCATCGATTCCAATCCTCATTGTTGTAAGCTTCTACACCAGACATGAAGTACTTCTGCAAAAACCTTGAATGATGGCGACTCTCCACTCTTTCATCCCACCTTCCGACCCATACCAAAACCCCACGCCGCACCTCGCCCGCCTTTGCTCGCTTTTATCCATTTTTCAGCTCCATGTATCAGGAGGATGATTTAGCTTGATAGAAGAGTTTTTTCGTCCCGCGCTATTGTCATTGGCATTTCCCCTGCACCTAGCCCCTATCTCCCCCTCCATCCGCGCCACATCTCCTCACCCATTCACTGCTTCCCTCCCGTAGCGCCCTCTCGCGCAGCGGGCACAACTGTGAGTAAGTTATTAGCGAAATTATCCTCTCTTGTCGCTCCTTTCGAGTTCAAAGTGGCGAATTCGAAAGGAGCTTTTTCAGCTTCTGAATCAAGAACTTTGGGGGGGGGGGTGGGGGAGCGCTCAAGAATGATGCAACCAACTTACCTTTGCCCTCCGCGCCCGCAACTCGCCCTTGCACCCGCATCTAGCCTCCTCGACATCTTGCGCAACTCTCCCGTTCACTCGCCCCAACCCCCACCGCCACAAACACTCCTGTCGTCCCACACTACCCCCCCCGTTACCCCCAGCTCGCTGTACCCCCCACCGGTTTTTGCCAAGTACGGAAGAGCGAGAAGTGTGGGTTCGCGACTGCGCTGCGCGAAGAGTGTTTGCCTATCACAACATGCATTCTTGGCAACTATCTTGGTGCCTAACCTCATATGTCGCGAAAGAGATCGACAGCATAATCGTCGTTTGTAATCCGCTTGCTGGCATGTAAATCGAGCCCGGTCTAAGTGCTCTCGCTCGAGGGTTCTGCACGGCAGAAAAGTGTACCGCTGCAACGCTTGCCTCAATTCGACATTGCTGTATCAGTTCAGATTTCAGACAAATTATACAGCAAAATACCAATTTCTCGGGGTGATCAAACCCTTTAACCCCATTCGCGACCGCGCCGGTTTGCGCATTAGCAGGAGAGTCAGGAGATTTTTCTTCAATAAAATTTGAGTGGATGGAGATTCCCCGTGCCCAAGTCTGGCATAGATGAATGAGGGTATGAAGATTCTTTTCAGGAAAGAAAACTTTCCAAATTCCATTTGAAACACGGCAGCCACCGGTGGATACCATTTGTACAAAGTGAAGATCTTGTCAGCCACCGGTGGATACCATTGTCACGAATGGGTTAAGGCAGACCCCACGATTGAACTGGTGTATCATAGCGCTTGGAAGGATATGAGAAGTGTGACGCCAGCATAGAAAAACGGGAAGAAATTGTCGATAGGCCGAAAGAAACCCTCTCTCCAGTAGCACAACAGTGAATAGCACCGGTTTGTGGCGGGGCCAGATGTTGAGCGAGTCAGTGCTACATCCTGGGTCTAGCACTTGGCCTTGGTCAAAGCTTCCGAAAATTGTGTTGCACTTTATCTCGAGGAAAAATTCAATTTCGACCAGAAATCCCGGACATTGCCTTTGAATGCCAAGTAGTCTACCCTCCTTTATCACGTAGTACGCCATGCAGTGAGGGAGTCCCCAGCCGATACGGTCTTCCTTAAAACCGCGGTCTCTATTCCTTAAAACCGCGCCTCAGGGGATCAACAGAGAGGTATTTGTTAGTGCTGTCCTCTTCCCCGGATTCCCCCCCCCCCCACCCATAGTGTCAGTCCACACATCGATGCACCCCTAACTGCACCAGCGCCCGCCAGTGCTCACTTAGTTGTTTAGTTGTATTGCCTTCTCCACGTGAGAACAGCAAATTGCCAACATTAGACACGCAGCTGTCATCAATGACGAAAACAAATCAATGAAATCGGCAACACCTACCTTCCAGTAACAGATATGAATGTACTGATACGGTTTCCTTTCAACAAAGTCGTAATAGGTGTTCATTTTCTCGAGCGGAGGCCTTTCTTCTGAAATAATTGCATCTATAGGGTTTTCTTTTTTTATGATGGAAAGATGTGAAGAAAATTGGAAATGAACGTTTGCTTGGATGAACTCTCCCCATGCGCCCCGCTACCCCTCTCTCCCAATCCCCCATCCTACCCCGTCCCCCTCCTCCCCACCTACCGTTTCCCGACTCACCCTGTCATCATTTCCTGCTCTTGTAGATGTATTCTGTATGTCACAGTATATTCTCCAAACCTAGCCGATATTCCTGGCTCAAAGGACTGGGTTGAAAATACTACAGATCAGGATGAGGTAATGGGTAGGTTTACGGAATCTGGGGTGGACAAGTAACTGGGTGACTAGCCCTTGAAAAATCTGAACCCTAGGTGGAAACCAAACAGAGTCGCACTGGTATCAGGGCGCTGGGGTTTGTGGAAGTCCAGGCCCGGCGCAGTGTTTATTCAAATACGCTAACATCTGGTACATATGCTGCGCTCAGTACTTACCCAGAGCTCGTAGGGAAATGGGTGCCTTCAGGGTGGGTGTGACATTACATTCGACATCTTCGATACTTGTCTGTTGTGTGAATTTTAAATTTGTGCAAGGTAGAACGGGAAGTCTGCTGACACCAGAGCTCGGCGATGGGTGAGGGACGCGGAGGGAGGAGGAAAGGACTGTTCCAGGGAATGATAGCAGCTTAACGAAAGGGTTTGCGGCGATGTGCGCGCACGCGATTTCGCGCCGGCGATGCCGTGCGACAATTTAGCGCGTTAGCAAGGCGAATGTAATGCGAATGCATCCAAGAGCTAGCAGATGGGGAGAATTTCGTCCTCGAGCAACCGTTAGATCGTTTAAAAACATGTTTGACTGCTCGTGTATGCAATTGAACTCCAATAGATATTTCTTACCGGTAAGCCGTTCTCGTTTACATCGCAGCAGACAAAGGGCTCGCTCCGATTGTGCATGTTTTTGGGACAATGATCGCTGTCTGGCATCTCCACCTGATCAGCACATTTCTTCCGACACCACACCAACTCATCCTCGAAATACCTTCAAATGTCAAGGTACATGTCAGAAAAACTATAGCGGAGAATCCGTGTGATCAAACATAGAGTTCATACCAATTTTATGAGGATACGCCATGCACTCAACTTACTTCGAAACTATGAAGACAGTTGGAAATATATTAGAGTTGTAACAAAATTCTCGGTTTGCTGATAGTTCCCTCTGCAATGAGACCTGGCCGGGAATAGGTCCCGCCAACTTGGAGTCATAGCCTCCGGTAATGACACAGTCCTTGCATGCTAAGGAATAAAGGGGTTGCGTCCACGAACGCAGAGTTTCCGTCCCCAGCCGAGCTTCCTGCACTCGGCCCTGGTTTGTTCTTCTTTATCGCATTACTGAGAAAGTGATTCCCAAACTTGGTCGACCTCATTTTATCCAGCCCGCTCATTAAATGGGATCAGCGATGTTGGTATGGTTTAGATGTATTTACTCCCAGGCAAAATCTGCCTGTTGACATCTTAACTGGACCACGATTAAAGAGTGAGGACTATGTTGCTCATAGGGATTTGGATTCTTGCGGTACCTGTTGGGTAGGGTCAGATGCATTGCGAATTAAGTCTAGATGAAATTCTAGGAACATTTTTACACAGACACTGAGGCAGACTCGAGATCGAGTGTTCTTGCTGGAACCCAGCCCAGGTCACAGCTAACACTTTTTTGGGCTGGATCGATTAGGAGATCCTAAAAAGCATATACAGAGCACATGTAAAGGCAAGGTGACAAGATGTAAGAAACGCTAAAGCCCACATGGGTTATGATTGCTTTCTCAAGCACAAGCCGTTGCCCTCCGTAGCAGAGCTGGAGCTTGACCAAATGTAGAGCCAAAAAATTATTGAATGTAGCAGCTCGCGCAGAGCTCCCAAAAATAATTTATATTAATTATAAATTTGAAATTAAGAATGATGGGGATTAGTTAGAGCAATGTACAGTCGATATCCGAAAGTTGGGGTGGGTGTGTCACCGGAAGTGACGTGCACTTGATAGAAGTGCGTGGATAAGCTGTTGCCAGCATGCTTTGCTGATAGCCAGCGATGTATGTTGGAAGCAGCTTATCCACATAGTTTCTATCAAGTGCACGTCACTTCCGGTGACACACCCCAACTTCGATATCGAGTATAGCTATTTTTTTTAGCCAAGCTTCCATTAGCGCAAAAGTGACCAAATGCCATAAGCTTGCATGGACTCATTGGATCGCTTCCTCTCACTATTTATTTCTATTTATTTATTCTTTACTCTCAAAGGCATGCCACAACCGCTAAGAAAGCCTAGAACTTACGCTGATGGTGTGGGCAATTCGGGAGGGGAATAAAAAAGAAACAAACAAACGAAGGAAAAGCGAATGGAAACCGATACGAAAGGAATTTATGAATTTCAGAAAAATCAACTTGAAAACGCACTCAGATTTATCAAATCCCAGATAAATTCAAAAAATGACACGGTAGGGGAAAAAGTGTACTCACTGGAAATCTTCAAGTGCTCTCCTCATAAATGCCACACAATCCGGCCAATTCTTATCGGTGTACTCCCATTTCCCGTACAGATAAAGTTGCTCGAATGTTAGTCGAGGATCATCAGGAGTACTGCTGACTGGTCGATCGATAATCGTCAGACATATAAGCAGCAACCAGTACAGAAATATGCCGGCCATGCCAGACGATGACGGCGACGATGGTGGTGGTAGTGTAAGCTTCGAGAAACGCGTAGAGTGTACGGAGGAGGAGAGGGCCAGGCGTGGCCGTCGCCAGACATCCTCCCTCTACTCGTGCTAGCCTGCTGACCCTTTGCGTCCAAAGGCAGTCCTCGTTGCGCCGTTGGAACTCAGATAGATGAAGGCTTCACATGGCAAACAAAAACGACGTCATGAATTAAGATGCTCAAAAAGAATCAGGTGTATTTGGGACGCGCCATGCATGCGAATTTCATCTGAAGTTATGTAGATCTGGATGTGTTAACAGTCTACACTGTCCCACCGTTTCTTTGTACTCACCAACTCTTTTCAAGATTGGGCTGGGCAAGTGGCTTTTTGGTACCACACGCTTGGTCTGAGAACTAAATCTCGGCCAGAAACTCTCCAACCAAACGTGTAATCCCTACTCCCTTTGAGATTGATCTAACGAGGCAGGCTCGCCTAAGAGCATAAAAATATTATCACAGCCTGGGGGTCAGTCAAGGATAAATTTAGAAATCGCTGTGGTTTTATATGAAAGTCGATTCAATAACGTATTTCTAAAATAAGGCTGATTGACACAAAGCGTTTCATCTTTCAATAGATTCAGATTCTCTGAACTGACCATCGAAAATGACTGAGTAGACCATCGAAAGTCAGCCAGTGGCAGTACTCCGTTGCCACAATTCTCCACAGGAAGCGACTACGCTGCGTATCCCGAGAAAGACAGTTCTTAGATAGCAAGCCACTTACCAAGCCGCCTTTTTTCTTCAAGGTTTTTTCTGATTCTCCATCCTAAGGCTGGTCGGTTGCTAGATCATCGCACAAACTCCTCTTGGATGCGCCATGCTTCTCGGATACCTCGTTAATTTCAGCGGAATTTTTTTGTGTTACCAGCAGTACTGCGCTGTTGTGGACATTACTGTACTATCACGGTGGTACGTTGTTTATATTTCTCTACGTTCACGCTAAATACGAAGATTCGTAGCAACGCAAGGAAACTCGCACATCATAAGCACGCTACGTTACAGTCGATATCTCCGAAGTCTGATTGGGCGTGTCACCGGAAATGACGTGGCAGCCACCGCACTTGATAGAAGTTGCGCGGATAAGCTGCTTCCAACACGCTTTGCTGATATCTGGCGGAGTATTTTATCCACACAACATCTATCAAGTGCGGTGGCTGCCACGTCATTTCCGGTGACACGCCCAATCAGACTCAAGATATCGACTGACAGACTCATGATCTTGACTCAAGAGAACATTATATTAAAAGCAACAGTCCCAGCAGGGTGGGCGTGGTCGGAAACGACTGCAATCTCCTCGGCTGATTCCGACCACGCCCACTTCAGCTCCCTCCCTAGCGGCTTTCCAAGGTGGGTTTTGTTAATTCACCACTTCTCTAGCGTCCTTGATACGGGACTGAACAGCTGCCAAAGTGCGAATCGGAGGGGACTGCAGGTTCCGGACCCAGCCGACCCTGCTGGACTGTTGCTTTAACTTTTGAATAATTTGGTGAACTTTTGTGAATGTCTTTGATAGACCCATACGTGAGACACTGATGACCATCATGACGAGAATTGTTAACTATTCATTCAAGAGACCACGCATCGTACAAAATACCCAAAGTACAAAGTCGTTAATAGTGAGGTAGCAATTATTTTTGTTAGTCGAGATTTCTAGTGTGCTTGCGGCACGTGTCCATCCACGTAGAAATTCCTTGTGATTGGTGGCAGCGTTACGGTGATTCCCTCAAGGTCCTTCCGCAAAATTATTTGGCATCTAGAACGAGAGTGGGGATCGTAGAGCTGGATAAGCCTAAAAGAAAGAACGCTGCAATTGACCGTCACACAGCACAATCGAGCAGGGACAAGTGCAGGTCGCCGACTCACGTTGGGAGTCGCCGTCCTATTAGAAGGATGAAGGGGCAGGGGTCACATGAAAAGGAAAGCGCATTTTGCAAGGATGATATGAATAGAATCCTCTTCAGAGTACACACAGCATCAGCCCAGTGTCAAGCCCTCCCCTGTGAGTAGACTTGTACATAAACACAATTATGGGAGCCTCCCACGGTTCAAGTTGCTTCGTTAGGGCATGAATCCGCGGAATCCGCTCAATCCACAATGCAAAGAAGGCACGCGGGTCTCTGCTCATCCTAGAGTCACCTCCTTATTATGCGCAGCATTTTCTCGAAGGGGTTATATCGCCAAAACAAGGGCAAAGTGCCTTCTATTTTGCTGTCTTAAACGGATTAATTCGGCTCATTCTTCATTGAGAGACCACATATCACCAACGAAATCATGTTTGAACTCCAGCAACCTACACCATATTTTCATAAATTAGGACTCTAAAAGCAGCTACTGGATCGTGGATCGATGCCGATGAATTCAACAGTATGTTAGTGCAATTGCGCTCCATCAAGAAGAAACCACCGAGAGAAGCAGCGGAAAATCTATATTCTTTGTGCCTTTGATTTCACGAAACAGCTTGAGGTAGTAGATGAGCGTGAAGGCGCTGCAGAAGGTTCAGCTCTACGATAACAATGCGATCAAGATCATTGAGAAGAAGATATGGGTGGTCAAAGATACTTCAAGTGAAAGGAACGAAGTTATAAGCGATAACGACATAGGCCGATGTCAGACTTTGCGAATCGCGCGATTCGCTAGCGTCTGCGGTCGCGTCGCGGCCAGTGAATCACTCAATTGGCTGGTACCGCAACGCGACCGCGGACGCTAGCGAATCGCGCGATTCGCAAAGTCTGACATCGGCCTAAGAATGCTGCGCGCGTCTGATTCCGGCACTATCCAGTCGCTGCTTCTTCAGACGTCTTCGCCTTGGAAGAGCTTCTTATCGTCTCCTTGAACCGGCTCACCAGGGTGAATAACGGTCGAGGAATTCCTCGACCATGGCTCTCTACCGTGCGAGAGTAGTGTCGAGAGTGAATGAATGCGCGGAGAGCACAGACGGCTCGCGCTGGCGAGAGTGAGCATCCGCGTGGGAGAGCGTGAAAGAAATCCTCGACGAGCCGTTGTCGTTTCCTCAAGCGATTTTCACCCTGGTCCCTACCCTGGCCACGTTCACCCTACATGAACGTACAGTTGGCGCAATTGCTGACTTTGAAAGACTCAGGACCTTACCTGGTATCTCTGGAACCATATTCCCTCCATTCAACAGATTCTGGAAGGATTACGGTAAGGATTCTATAGAGAGGAAAGGGTGATTGGATATGGAAGAGTAGGCAAGGCTGGTGATAGGTGAGGGGTTAGGTGAGGGGTCATATTTGACAAATTTCTTTTCACCACGCCACCACCGTACCTAGGGACCATATGAATCCCTTTCTGTCATAATGAAGGAAATTTGACGATGTGGAAGAAAAGACCTCAAAGCATTGAGATATCGCTGCAGGGTGACGTCATTCTGACGTGAAAAAAGAACAATACCTGATCCAACATATCCTCTTCCTCTTCTTTTGGCTCATCTAACCGATCAAAGTAGGGTTCATCCACGTAGCAATGGCAAGTGGAGCAGGCCAATGAAGCCTCACACGCTCCCTCCATTTCAATACCATACCTAAAAATATCTAGACATCGAAAAACGTCAGAAGCTTCAAAAAGCATGCGAAAATGGTCATGAATCTCCGAATCAGAAAATATCCAAGAGGTTCTTACAGCGTGATCGAGTGTGCTCGCAACATTTCGTGACCTAGATGAGTAGACTACTCACCTGTGTGCGAGATACATTACATTATCGCCCACTTTCCCTCGAACTTGTTTTTTTGTGCCATCTCGTAACACGTAAGTAATATTTACAACGTCATCTTCGGATTTAGGATCCTAAATGGGTTCGGATTATAGTCGGCCAGAAGCGTGGCCTATCAGCTTTTAATCTAGATGGTGTTTGAATGGTAATATGATTAGGCTATATCAGAGAATTAGCACAAGGGATATGTGAACTTTAGATAGAAGCGCAAGGTCCATAGCGACGTATGGCTTTTTGATCTATCGCTACACGTATTTAATCGTGTTCTTGATTCTTTAAACTCCCCCATCTCTCTAGTGCAAGAGACAGAATTCGCCAAGCGTTGGATTGTTCACCCACTAATAGGGAACGTGAGCTGGGTTTAGACCGTCGTGAGACAGGTTAGTTTTACCCTACTGTTGACTAATTGTTGCGATAGTAATCCTGCTTAGTACGAGAGGAACAGCAGGTTCAGACATTTGGTTCATGGACTTGACCGATCGGTCAATGGTCCGAAGCTAACATCTGGGGGATTATGACTGAACGCCTCTAAGTCAGAATCCCACCTAGTCAAGGCAGCGATAACTTTGTTTCCCGGTGTCGGGAGGCAAATCTATCTCGTGGTAACATGAGAGCTTATGCCCTAATAAATGACCTTGCCGGTATGGATAATCCCTGCTGGTTGTCAAAGCCAGATCACTCTGGTTCAATGTCGGGGCGCAAAATCACATGTCTACGACATGTATACTGGTCAAGGTGTTGTATCCAGTAGAGCAGTGTTTGTATACTGCGATCTGTTGAGACTATCCTTTGATCGGGTGTTTTGTTTGTCATTATCGTTGACGTATTTTAAGTTTCCTAGCTCTGGACTTAGAAGAATTTTTCTAAGTGTCCGACCATAGTGATGGTGATTACCAATGGTCACCATATGGTTTCTCTATGGTTGGTTGTGTATATTTGATGTTCAACATGTTTGGAGATAGGAATAATTGTGAAACAACCATAGTGATGGTGATTACCAATGGTCACCATATGGATTCTCTATGGTTGATTGTGTATATTTGATGTTCAACATGTTTGGAGATAGGAATAATTGTGAAACAACCATAGTGATGGTGATTACCAATGGTCACCATACGGTTTCTCTATGGTTGGTTGGGTATATTTGATGTTCAACATGTTTGGAGATAGGAATAATTGTGAAACAACCATAGTGATGGTGATTACCAATGGTCACACCCCGCGCGCGCGCGATGGTTTGAAAATTTTTGTGGGATGTCTGCATGGGTGTTGTGATTGTGGTACATATTTGATGTTCAACATGTTTGGAGATAGGAATGATTGTGAAATATGCATATTCAAAGCATATATTTGAGTTTGGAGATGTTGGACATATTATAGGTTAATCATGGAGATAGAGTAATTTCAATATCATATTATAACCTATAGGTTATATATGGATATATGGATATATCCATATATTGTATATAATGAATATAATATAGACTAGTTTATAAATGAATCTAGCGCAGCCCTGTACCTTGTGGATGGTCGCGGCTGTTATTGTGAGGTTGGGATGAAACATTTTCGTTTTCGACGAGAATGATTTCTGTGTTCCCAAAGTTTCACGAATGAAAACGGGTATCGTTATGTGTCAATGTGATTTTCCAATATTTGAAATGTTGGTGCTTTGCGAAAATGCAAACATTGTGAATATCTCAATTGTGCGATTGGTTTGCTAGACGTAGGCAATGCTGGTAGCCTGCGAATACCAATTGTATGAGATTGTTCACAAATGTCAACTTTTACCTGATTGATTCTGTCAGCGCTATATGCTCAGTTTAAAGATTAAGCCATGCATGTCGAGTTCATCTAAAAGAGAAACTGCGAACGGCTCATTAGAGCAGATGTCATTTATTCGGAAAATCCTATTGGATAACTGCGGTAATTCTGGAGCTAATACATGCGATTAAACCCTGACTTTTGGAAGGGTGCAATTATTAGAGCAAATCAATCATCTTCGGATGAAGTTTGCTGACTCTGAATAACGCAGCATATCGGCGGCTTGTCCGCCGATATTCCGAAAAAGTGTCTGCCCTATCAACCTGATGGTAGTCTATTAGTCTACCATGGTTATTACGGGTAACGGAGAATAAGGGTTCGACTCCGGAGAGGGAGCCTTAGAAACGGCTACCACATCCAAGGAAGGCAGCAGGCGCGAAACTTATCCAATCTTGAAGAGATGAGATAGTGACTAAAAATAAAAAGACCATTCCTATGGAACGGTCATTTCAATGAGTTGATCATAAACCTTTTTTCGAGGATCAAGTGGAGGGCAAGTCTGGTGCCAGCAGCCGCGGTAATTCCAGCTCCACTAGTGTAAATCGTCATTGCTGCGGTTAAAAAGCTCGTAGTTGGATCTGAGTTACATGCAGTGGTTCGCCTTTGGCGTTAATCGCTGTTGTAACTATTTGCTGGTTTTCTATTGAGGTTGGATGGTGTGCGAAGTTACGGGCTTCTTTAGTGGCTAGCGAGTTTACTTTGAATAAATTAGAGTGCTCAGAACAAGCGTTTGCTTGAATGGTCGATCATGGAATAATAAAAGAGGACTTCGGTTCTATTTATTGGTTCAGGAACTGAAATAATGGTTAAGAGGGACAATTCGGGGGCATTCGTATCCCTGCGCGAGAGGTGAAATTCGTGGACCGCAGGGGGACGCCCTAAAGCGAAAGCATTTGCCAAGAATGTCTTCATTAATCAAGAACGAAAGTCAGAGGTTCGAAGGCGATTAGATACCGCCCTAGTTCTGACCGTAAACTATGCCATCTAGCGATCCGATCGTATGGAACTAAAGTAACAGATAAGTCATGCAAGGACTCTAATTTCAATAGACCTTGCCCTCCTCACGAAAAGGACGAGAGTCTTGTCGGAGTTTCCGGCCGGCTACAATAGGTGCTGGTTTGTTACAGGTGACTGATAATATCTTAAAAATTAGATCGTTGTTACTGTCCGGAGCAAGAGACACTATAGATAATGTGTGGCAGTCGATACGCGCATCGCTTCAGATATAGAACTAAAAGACACCAAAAGCTCCAGGAAGAGCCTTTGAAATAATCACGCTCCGACAGTACCGTTTCAGAATGATTTTTAGAATCAGATAGCAAAGCTCTTTAGTCGATTTGAAGGTAAATAGAGACGAGTACAATGGATCAAAAAAGGGAAAGAAAGTGGAGAAGTCACTGCTCGCAATAGTTCGTTCTAGCCTCAGTAATCCCCTTTTTGCGAGGGAGTAAGCCTCCGAGACGGGTGAACCAGGTTGCTCTGGACGAAGGAAACTAAAGACAGAAAGAAAAATATATATATATAGGCCTTAGGCAGACGTGCGCCATTTAACCGTCCCTTCTCTTCTCTCTTCCCCGCCGCCCTTCTCCACCCCAATCCTAAATACACTTGAGTTGGAAGTGTTATGACCTGAACGACCTCGCTTTATTTCAGATCAGAAGATAACCCTGTTGCACTCCAGCCCAACACCTTCATTTGTAGCGGATAGAGGGTAGCAATAAGCGTGAAATGTTACTAGATTGCGTCTTGACCAGTTACACAGTTACATTCAGAAGGAGAAAAGAGCCACATAACTGCAGACAAGAACAGAACAAAAAATAGAAGCGACCAGGAAGGCAAGGGTGCGCTCACTGTGGGAAGACATTCAAGTGGGTGAGTCACACACAGCACCTGGGACTAAACCTCAGTGCGGGAAAGGGACTCTGGGGAGGATTTGAGCAGAATGTGTTCTCACCTTAGCATTCCCCCCTCTCCTTCTCGCCTGTTTTGAGTGTTCCCTCCCCCCAAGGGACTCAGCGCCGGACAAGGAGATAGAGACGAGAGACGCAAATAATAAAGGCCAAGTCCCAAAGGGAGCTAAAGAAGTGAGGAATTTCCAAAAAGTGCAGAGCAATCAAGAAGTGGAAGATTAAAAACCTCTAACTTACCTCATACTCGAAATCGCCGTGATAGCTGATTGCCGTTTGCGATATTTGTCGCCTTGTTGACTTCCTCGATAGCAGAAGTGGCCTTCGAACTCGTGAAACTGTAAAACTCCGTACAATTCTCGCGGCAACGTACATTGAAAACTGTTTTCATCCAACGTCCCAATGGGAATGCTGCTTGCCGTTTACCCGCGCAACCCTTGCGCTCTCTTTTTCTCTGCGTCTCTCAGCAATTTAATCTCTCGCTCAGCTCGTTTTTGCAGACTCATCTCCGCTTGTGATCAAGTTCACGGTCGTTCTGGTCCGTGTTTTTCTTATTTCCTTGCAATTTCACATTCAGTTGGTTTGAATCCATTGCGAGGTTATGCATACCGTACCATGTTCGGGTTCCGTTCTAGGTCAGGGGCGAAACTGATACCAGTAATCGGTATTGATTAGTACACCCATTGACGTTTTTCATGAAGTATCAGCGGGTTGGTGACAGCATTTTTTGCCGTTCTTCTCCTTCACAGGTGGAGAAATTGCTTTCGTATTGGAGTGAGTCAGAGCTTTTTCACTGAAAAAGGCCAGTTTGTTCTGTACGTCGTGATCTCAAAAATCTTTTGCTTGCCTGTTCGTTTTCTTTTGTACTTCCGACCCACTGTTTCTTTACACTAGCTTTGTGTAGGATTTCGTGTATGTTTTCACTGTCAACTGCACACTTCCGCAATCCCATCGTCAAAGGCCCAATGAAGTCCAAATACAAAGTGGTGAAAAATTACGTGCGCGTGACATTTTTCTCCGTTTGGAGAAGACGTGCTCAGGTTGCAATGTGATCGCGCAGCTAGCATGGAGTGGGATTAAGAGCTTTAAGATTTCCTCCAGGCACATAGTTACTCTGGAAGTCTACCCGAAAACTGCAGAGCAATGAAAAGAGGAAAACCACGGAGCTTGAATACGAATGTCGAACAGCACGGAGTGAAAACCTGTTCAAATGATGGCAAAAATGAGGCTCGGAGTTAGAAGTTATCGTTTATCAAACGGACAATTTCTTAGGCTGGTGTCAGAGTCCGCGATCCGTCGCAGGTTTCGCTGATTTTCGCGATTTGCGCGATTCACGCGACGGGTCACGGAAATCACAAGTGCCCTGATCAATACTGCAAGGTGTTCTCCAATCCTGCCGCCAAGAAGCAAAATCATAACAGTTCATCTTTCGACTGGAGTACCATGGCCATACCATAGACGAATACAACGATCCACTTCTTCGAGACCAGAATAGGTTTGGATTTGTGGCCTGTGAGCAGTCCGAATTCGAAACCATTAGATGCTCCATTATGTGACTTATACGAAGAATATAAGCAATCTGAGTCAAAAAGATGTCTCATCCTGTAAGGGAGACATCAGTGCTTGCCCTTCCCTCCTGACCTGCCTTACACCTCCCCCTGCCCCACACAGTCTCTCAATGAAGTAGGACGCCGTAACTGGGCGAGTGTAGGCAGTCTAGGGGTAGGCAAGCCACTTGATGCCCCCCTACGGTATGTGACCCCGCGCGAAGGTGGGGATTAGCTGCTGGTTCCAGCTTTCAAACAGACATGCGCTAGCAGAGAATAAGATCTCAGAGGTATGCAGGAACCAAGGGAAGCTCTTAGAAGACCGACTTGAAGGTGACGACCTCCTGGTGCAAAATGGCTATAAAGGTGTTCTTTTACCTTACGCCTATTTCGAGCACCAAGCTGCTACAGCAAGGCTATTTATTACAGATTTCATTTGCCCCCCCCTTACTGGATAAGACCCTGCAAAAAAGTTTGGTAACTTTCAGAAGAAGCCCAAAATCAGAAATAAAGCATTCGTCTAACACCTACGCCGTACCATCGTCTCGACGAAGAGCGAATTGAGGTCTTTGTCAAAACTGGTGGCACCCACATCGGAACTCTTTTCCTTCGCATAGGATGTTTCGCTTCGCACTTTTTAAAATTAGTAATTTCAAATTTTGTAGACAAAAAGTAAATTGGATTTTTATGAAAGCCACGAAAATTTGTATGCCACCTTGTAAGTTGTTTCCGATTTAAGTTCTCGGCATTCCTGGGCCATACCCTGGAATTGTCTTCATAATTGTGATGTTTTCTCATAATGTTTCTTCATTTCGAACAATTAACTACCAAATTAAAGGGACTAACCCGAAAAAACATTTTCTCTGGTTAGTTCTGATGGGGGGGCAGTAGGGATTCTTTGAACCGACCCCTATTTCTATTTGGAGATAAATATGTGCGGCAACTTTCTTCCTGCGGAAATTTTTTCCAGGACAGGACAAGTTTCCTTCCGGGTCCGGGGCCCTCCACCTTTGTGCCGTCCAACAGAAAAAAAATACTGATGCGGGTGAAAAATCGCGAGGAGGAACGTCGGCGGTAGCTTTAGTTTGTCATTCCTGTCCAATCTCTTCCCCACTTTCACAGCCCGATCGTCCCCCTTTATTTAACTCCTCCATTGCTCTGAGAAGAATGACAGTGAATATTTTCCGTATATTATTAACCGATTTTTGGTGTTGCCTTATGTTTGGAAATATCGTCGAGCTCATTGTGGGAATCGTCGTTTCTCAATAGATACCTTGTTAATCTCGTGTGCAAGCCTACTGTCAGCGGTATACCTACATCCCTTTTTTATGTATTATTCAGCGTAGATTACATACTAAATAATATCAATACTTCTATCATTAATAACAGTCATGGTTTCACGGATCCTGTTATACATACAAACGGTTTTGGAATGTAAAAAAAGGCAAACAAATCGACCGGAACGAGTCTTCTCTCTTCGTCTTGTTCATAGGGGCGGCGGCGGCACGCTGTATTAAAATGTTTTCAATCTCCCTTCGATGTTTTCGCATTCTTTTCCAATAAGCGTGAAAGCTAAATGGTACTGAGAAGCCTCGTCATGTCATGTCTGGGGTCACCCGTTATCTAAGAGATTCGTGGGACACAGAAATGGTTTACAACATGGAAAAAAGGCGGAGCACAACTTGTTCTTTGTCACCAGAAAATAATCTTTATCTTTATGCGTATCCGCAGCATTCGTTTCTCTTTTCTTCGCTCTCATATTTGGCGTCGTGTGTTCTTCTTGTAGCTTTGAGAAATTTGTTTCAGTAAGCCACTAATGGCACATCAGAATCCACGACCTCGACCTCGTGTTAGGCAACCTGCAGCACAAAGGATTTATAGGAATTCGGTTAGTGCTCCCTCCATTCGCTCAATTTCATATTAAGGCCATTCATATTATCCCTGCCATTATGCTTCCAATGTCATACCCTTCTGGGGCTTGGAATCGTTGTTTAAATGACTATTTGATTGATTGGTGATCAGAAAGTGGAATCCACTTTATGGATTCAAAATCAGTAGCTGTAGGTGGCAGTGAACTCCCAGCGAGAATCTGGCTATTTTTTGTCTTCAAAAAGATAGCGGTAGCGAAAACTTTGTCTGAAATTGACTATTTTCGATTCCAGCAAATTCGATATGCTCCCGGTGCAGGTGGAGAAACAGAGATCAGCTGTTGCGTGAAGTATTCTGTTTTTGGCTTCAATGTACTATTCTTTTTAATCGGGTTCGCATTACTATTGATCGGTGTATGGGCACAGATCGAGAAGAATAATATCTACAGTCATTTAAATAAGGTGAGTTCATCATGAATTCTGATATATTGCACTTCTCCAGTGTCATTATCGTGATGGCGCTTCATAGGGGTGATCTGCTACGATTATTGGTATTTGGGCTGACGGCCTTGAGGCTCAATAAAGCCCAAGCGGGACAGAAGCATTTTCCAGACTAATTGTTGACTAGAAGTAAAGAACTAATCGTCAACGGAGAGGGACGTTTCAGTTAACGGTAGTCGATGGTTTGGGAACGCCGTTCATTTATTTGAAGATGAAATCTTTTTTCTTTTTGGATGGATGAAAGGTTAGGCAAAATGTGAATCCCCTCGTTGGGTGAGGGGATTCATCCCCTAGTTGGGTGAGGGGATGGGTCCCCATCCCCTAGTTGGGGCTTGCTGCACCCGGCCCCAGTCGGAAAATGTAGCTTCGAGATTAGCTCATGTGAAGATGGATCCTGATCTCACAAGAATCAACCACCTTTGAATTGTTCCAAAGTGTATTTTGCTTTTCAATGGCATATTTTTCTTTGCAGGCGTCAAAACTATACCTTGACCCAA